AAAACGGCTTCCTAACGTGCTGAAACGTCCCTACAAGCACAAAAGGACAGTTGGTGTGAAATTGAAAAATTGTGGGGTCCACAATCTTTGTGTAACACTCTTTTATGCTAGCTTTCAAGGTATTTACGCCAATGTAATATTGTGTTTCGCTGATGATCTATGGTCTAGATTGAGCCGCCACTTGGAGCCGTTACCTAGGTCCTAGCCTATAAATATAGGCCCTCGCCTACGGCTTTGGGGATCCAAACCTTAGAGAATTAGGCGAAGCCCTGCTGCTCTACACACCTAACCCTACACCCTTAGAAAACCTATAGCCAAGAACCCTAGTTTCCCCTTTCATAGACCTCTAAGCCTACTTTGAACCTCTGCAACCTTATCTTGGCTGAGATCTACCCTTGAACTACTAATCAAATTATAGGCTCTAGGTCACATCCGTGCACCCTGGTCTTTTCCTTTAAACCCTAAGGTTAGATCCCCTCTATCCAATCCAAATCTAAGTTAGACACAATCTTAACTCTGTTCGATCCCAATTGGCAAACGCTAAGAGGCGAAAGAGGTCAGCGCAGCAATCTCGGATTTGAGCTAGACCACTGACTTTGGGTGCTAGGCTTGTGGGCCTGGCTTCCAAGTAAGTTCATCTCTTTGCGATTTCATTTGCATACTTAGTGTAGCTTAGTCATAGTTCCTTGTTTCAAAACCTTTTCCTAAATCTCTCCCCCTCTTTGCTCTAGAATTTCCAGAACTTCTTCCTTTTCACGAATTTTCGGTTTCACCATCCCATAAGCCGGCAACTGCCGGTGGTTTGTGAGAGAGAGCAATCCTTAGGCCTATCTCCCACTCAGACCATAATTTGATGGAGCTTCAATTTCTACCTCCAGTTGACTTTGTTAAAGCTCAAAGGTGCTTGGCATGGTGGCCGAAGAGCCGTGCCCCTCCTCGCCGCCGTCAGGCGTTCGTGAACAACCTGGACTCCCAAATGATCATGGCAAAACTCATTTTGAACATGCAAGTTTCTTGACATATGTTTTTTTTAATAGTTAATTTACCTGTTATGTTTCAGTTACTGTTGGTGTTATTTGGGTTTAGATAGAGAAATTATTTCTGTATTGCTGGTTTACATTAGCGTTGAAGACTGTAATTTGTCAATATTGAGCTTTTTTTAGTGGGTTTTTTAATTTGGCATGCATTCTCTGTGTCTTATTCTAGATGGCAACTCCCTGATCGAAATATCCTTAACTTTCTCGGAATGATGTGAAATTCTGATTGTTTTATATTGCGTGAAAAATTCCTTCTTATGATTTCTAATTTATATTTTCATGGATTTTAACATTCCTATTTCATGTGCACGTTGTTTTTCCAAGAGCCCATCTATTGGCTTCTATATAAAAATGAAGTCATCCATAATAGATTTCAATGAAATTATTAGTCTCCTAGTCTTTATGTGAAAAAAGTACATTGTTATTTATAAAGGGCATTGTATGCATACTGTTACATAAACTCAACCAGAGCCTTTCCAAAAGGATAAAAATAATATAACAGGCAGGGCCTTTACTGCTATGATAGCCACAATAACGGGACATTCATGTTATTTTTCACATTGGTGCTTAGAGAAATTGATAAGGACTGTAATTTCGGAAGAATGAGGCAGACATGCGCGGAGAATTCGTAAAAATATTATGCAGGAAGAAGCAATAAAGAATTCGTGTGCCAATCATTTAATTAAAGAGAGAAATAAACAAAAAAGAAAGAGAAGATGGGAAATTTGCAGCACAGTTAATCCAAACTTCCAAGTTATCCAAGTTCTGAACAGAAAGAATCTGGCATGTGTGGCAATCCATCTTTTCAATCATGAAATCCTATTGAAGAAACAAAATTGAAAATTCTTCTTTGAAAAAACCAGACTTAAAGAAATTGTCTTATCTTCTGAGCTGTGTCCAATCGTCTCTTTGTAGGAATTGAAACTACTCAGCAATGTCAGATGAATCTAATTATGGATTTGGATTTACAGTTATTCTTTGAACATCTATACGGCTAGTTCCCTGTCCTGCGAACACAACCTAACTTGACAGGCTCCTGTTTCAGGTTGACCCATGACCTGACCTAGTTGACTCAATGGATCATAAAAAATAGACAACGACCTTAAAGACCTAGCTGGGATCTAAGTTAATGTTCTAACAGGTAGCGTAAGACTTGTTGGACTCGGTTGGCACTATCGAGTTTTATGTCAAGCCTTTCTCATTTGGGTTTGTGTGAGTAATCTGATCCAACTTTACTTCTGCTCAGCATGACCTGACTGGGTCCCAATCAGGTCTCCCTTACACTAAGGATGACAGGCAACTTGCTGGATCAACCTCTCCCAAAGGAAAAGAATTTCAAGTTGACGAGTCCTTGATCATTTGTTCGTACTTGGTTGCCTTCTCACCTTGTTTTTCCTAGCTACAAATTCAGAAACCCAAGTTCCTTTCGATCTCATACAATCTTTCCATTGGACAAAGTGGTTAGTATGTGGAAATTCAAGGGTAAGTGTGACATGAATTGCTAACCAAACATGAGATTGAAAGCTAAAGAACGATCAGTAAAGAAAGAGAGATCTAGAATGTTATTCATTATATGATAAAAAATGTGAACTCAGTATGGTATATTTGGGAGAGTGATTTCTAATAGCACTTGTAACAAGCTATAGAACGTGGTTTATTTGCTGAAATAAATGGAGGAAAGAAAAGAATTTTGGTTTATTTGCCCTAGTTGGGTTAGTATTAGAAGGATAGATTGTTGGACTTAAAGGATTCATTCTTTTGAGATCTTTGTCTACAACTTGGTAGCTTGGGCAAATTGTGTTGAAAACAATTCTCATCTTCTCTTTCTTATTGTTGGTTTTTCTCTAAATAATTGGTTGTTTAGTTATGTAGATTGTTGATTTCCTCTGCCTACATATTATTTTCTCTGTCCTCTGTGTTTGCCTGCATCAAAAGAATATGTAGTCTTTACTTTCTTCTAATTGTCTTACTTTGTGGATTTCTCCATCTCCGAAGATTTTTCCATCTCCAAGGACAATAGGTCCCTTTGATTTTTCCATAAAGAATAACAATTCCATTAACTTTTCAAAAGGACTCATCATTTGATACCTCTCTATTCATGTAATGACAATACCAGAAAAGGTTCTATCATCATTCAAAAATTCAACTGCCCAACCGCCTAGGTAAAAAATTTCAAAAAACACATAGGCGTTGCTTGGGTGGTGGAATTATGCGGCCTGTCTCTGGCGGCCCGCCAAGTGGCAATTTGCAGAAGGGCGAAAAAAACCCTCAACGAGGGTAAAAGTGTCAGTTTTCCCCACTAAAAAGGGGGAAAAAGGGTTTGGGGGGTATTCGAGAAAGTATTCGATAAAGTTTTGATTTTGGCTTTTAGGGTGGGAAAAACTCTTCAAAAACTACTCTTTTGTGATTTATCGAAAGATCGATAACGTTTTGATTTTGACGATTTCTTCCCAAAACAAAAGCAATAGATTGTGGGTGGATTTAGAGCTTCTAGTAGTTGATTTTGAGGACTTTTGGTGACCCAATAGATCAAGTTTGCACCGACATTGATTTGATTGTGATATTTTTAAAGTATTATCATATTTATAAGAGGGTTTTGATTTTATTTTGCTTCAACATATTATGATGCGAATCATGTGTTTTTTCTTTTACCTTTTTTTTTCTTTTACGATATATTTACATGTTTGGTTGATGACTTGATGTATTTGTTTTTTGATTTTGCCTTGTTGACTATGTGTATCGCATCTAGTCTAGACTTGTAGTTTCCTACAATGATATTTGGGATTTCTAGCATTTTAATGTCTTACAAGTTACAATCTTTTTTAGATTTGTATCTGTAAATCTGTTATGTGATTGTACTATTACTTTTTTTGTCTATTTCTCAAGAGTTTGGGGCTCTAAAATTGCCCTAAAAACCCCCAAAGACTTTAAACCATGCCTTAAGAACTCCCATGTTTTTTTTTGTTTTGGATGTGGGGGGTTCAATTTTGGTGAGGGCACCCTGTCTCTGGGCGGGCGCCTAGGCGGTCAGGCACCCAAAACGTCTAGGCGCCCGAATTTGCATTTTTGAACATTGGGTTCCATTATTTATCTCCATTGTCACATTCAAAGAAGTGTGGCGATCATAACGGTATCTCTTTGAGAGATCCCATCAAGAATGGACCCCGTGTCGCGGAGGACATGGAAAATCATGTTGACATCATCCTTGCCTTTAGCCCAAGAGGAGCTGGAAACCGTGACATACCCTCTTGGCTAGTCAAATGAGTTCACATTGCGAAGTGATTTCAACTGGCTTCTGTACAAACGGGTTCAAAAAAGAGCATGGCTTGACTGTGAGATTGTCATCTCTCTACACGTTCTTATTAACACTCCCGTGAAAAAGAGAAACCATGATCCTTCCATCTCTCTTCTTCTTTCCTAGGGTCTATGTCATTCACGTGTTGTCTGCTAGTCTCTCCTGTTAGCGTTTGCCACACTGGAAATTTTGCTCCAAAAGGATGAAAGCAAGTGTTACCCCAGACAGAAGATTGGCAGCTATGGATCATCCATCTTGCTTCTTGTACTTGCTTGGAATAAGCTTAAACACACAATTATTGGTGGCCAACTCGGCAGGCTCTTTTTATTTGACTGGCTTTAAGGAATGCCTTTTGCCATTCGCAGTTGGCGAAGGATTTCAATCTTCTATAGCTTACTCAATATAAAGGTTGAAAAAGTTGAGGGGCATCTTTCTTTTTCCAAAAGTTGGGACATGTTTAGATATATAAATTTAACTTGACTTTTATTTGGTAGTTAATTCTTTTGTGGGCTATTTTTTAAATTTTAAATCCTTAAATTTTGACACCCTCGTCCTGATAAACTAAGAAGGTTTATTGGGACTCAAGGAACCATTTTTGTCATCCACCATTCAGACCATAAATGTTACTTGTTTGTCATGAACTAAGTTCTGATCCTCATGTTCTGCAGGTGCTCATCATATCAAGGAGGTCAATGATTTACTTGGAAAAAGAGATTGTACTGGGGATGGGGATGGGGATGCTCTCACCGCTTCATTAGGACCTGATGTGATAAAAACAGAGCCATCAATAGAAAATGGAGTGGGAGAAATAGACCCAACAAGAGAAAATGAAGTGAGAGACACCAACCCATCAAAAGAAAATGAAGTGAGAGAAATTGCTTTTAGAGATGGCTCGGCCTTCGAGGAGAAAGCAAACCCATCAATTTCCACCTCTCAATATACATCTGATCACATGGCCAAGAGGAATCCTTCAATGAAGCCTCCACTCTCTCACAGAGTTTTCACAGCAAGCCGACTTGATTTTGCCATATCTGCCTCTCAGAACATTCGACTACTCTGTGCAGCAACCATAGCTCTTCTGGTTTTATGCGGTAATATTGTATCTTCTCTCACTACCACTACTTTAATAGGAAGGGTAATACTTTCATGGCCTCTGTATAACCTATTGTTAACTGATGCTACTATTGTTCTTGGATTCATGCTGATGAACCTTGAGAAAGAAAAGAGAGATGAAAAGAGAAGGGAAACAGGTCTCGAGGTCAATTATGGCTTGGTCGAGAGTTTAGGAAATGTATTGGAGTTGGGTTTGGTGATTCAAAGAGTGACACAAGCAATATTTATGGATGTCAGTATCTATGCAGTTCTTGTAGTTTCTGGGCTATCTTTGATCAAATATGGGTTGTGAACTTTTGGCTCTCGGATCCATGCTGACGAACTTAGAGAGATAAGAGATGAAAACGGACAGTCTTAAGTAGAAAAAGCTATGAGAAGAGATATGGAAATAGAACGAAACTAGTCTTAGAGCTCTGTTATGGCTTCGCAAAGAGTTCAGGGAGGGAAATGAGTTTTTGGTGATTCAGAAAGTGACAACAAGCGATATTTATGGATTGCTAAACTCTCTTTTATACTGGTTAGCTTCTGTAATATTCAAAATGAGCGAGTGCCCCCTATTTTGAGGATTGCTGCCTTCTTCCCCGTCATTCCAAGGAGTAGGGACTTCTCGTACTCAGCAAATTTAGCTCTGGAACCCATGTATCAGTGAATAGTGTGTACTTTTTTTTTCTTCTTTTTTTTCAATCATACAATTATGTATTCATGAATCATGATGGAGACATTTTTCTTTCATGAGAATAGACCTGGCATGGGGTGGGTGGCCCCGCCCAGCTGGACAAGATGTGGCCCAAGGCTGGACCTAGGCCATGACCATGACCATGACACGGTTGGGCGGGTTTTTTGTTTTTTTAAAAAAACTTTTTTTCTTCGATTATATTTGGCCCAGCTGGCTTGTCTAGGGCCGGGCGAGGCTAGGGCCTGGGCCTACCTAGCAGGCACCAAGGTTGGGCTAGGATCAAGGCTGGCCCGGTCGGTTACCAGCTTTGATGATGAGCAGTGTTTACTTTCACCACAAAACAGATCCCGTAAAAAGATGCATTGTCTCATTTCCATAGCGTTGGTTTCCATCTAAACACAAAACAGATCCCGTAAAAAGATGCATTGTCTCATTTTTATAGCGTTGGTTTCCATTTAGGGGGCGTTTGGGTGCTTGGAAATGTATTACATAACAATAGATTACAATTACAGGGCCGTTTGATATGTGGAAATTTATTATTTGACAATAAATTACAAGGAAATATGATCAGGAAATATGACTTTTACATCGTTTGGGTGCAGTACGAAAATGAAAATACATTATTCGATATTATCGAAGATTTTTCCAAAAATCAGACAATTCATAATGCGCACTCTATTACAAAGTTGATGGTGCTCTATTACGATATTGATGGGTATTCTATTTTTCGCATGTGTCTCTCTGCTTTATCCCCGCTTAAAGCGTTTCTTTGCTCTATCCTTGTTTAAAAAAAATCTTATAATTACTTTTATAATTATTAAGGTAGGTAGAAAGTGAAAAGTAGGATTTATAACCAGGGGAATCTATATTGATTTGAATAGATGTACGAGCATAATTTCTTACTGCAATTATAACAAAAAAATTTTACATCTTTTAATCCCCTATTTGCGTTGTAGCTAGTTTTTAAGACAATTTTCTACTGCAATCATAATAAAAAGATTTCTACATCCCTCTATCGCCAATTTGGGTTCTAGCCCACTATCATATAAAAATAATAATTGGTAATGGATAAGAAATTGCATAACATAATTAAAATAAAAAATTTTACACAACATAATCCTTATAATAAAAAATTTTACACAACATAATCCTCATAAGAGATTTAGTAAAAGCTCAATTGAAATAAGCTACTTTTTTAGTCTCTTCCAATATTTCAAAATAAATTTTATACAGATTTAGTAAAAGCTCAATTGAAATAAGATACATTTTTAGTCTCTTTCAATGTTTCAAAATTTTCGACTGTAATTACCAAACCTTCTAGTTTACTAATCAAATTTTTTCCCGTTTTTTAATTTGTACCATAAATTTATTGCTTATTTAAAATTATATATACAAAGACATTTGAAAGACTCCTATAAAAAATAAATAAAAATAAAGTTTATCACAATAAAATCATGTTATTCCAATCATTTATTTGGAACTAAAGTCATATCATGTTAGCCAAATAAAGCCCATATTTTTCTTTGGATGGTAACACATTTCTCTACCCAAACAGTTACAATCCATTTGCATAATATATTTCCAGGTATCCAAACAGCCTCTGCATGTACACTTTATAACGAGGAAATAGAAAGAAATTACCCGATATTTCCCGTAAAAGGTGAACTTAACGGGTAATCTTTAGAAATCTTTGGCGTGCATTTCTCTGACTATCCCAACTTAATAAAATGCAAACCCGCCCAGCTTAATAAAATGGCAAGATAACTGCATCGGTTTGCTCCCTCCCTCATTGGTTGCTCCCTCTTAATAACTAGTTGCTTCCTCCATCTCTAGGCATGTTCCCTTTAATAACTAGTTGCTTCCTCCATCTCTAGGCATGTCCCCTCTCTCTTGAACACTAGAACTGATTGCTCCCTCCCTCTATAAGCTCGTCCCCTCTCTCTTGAGCCTTGATAATTGATTGCTTCCTCCCTCTCTAAACATGGCCCCTCTCTCTTGACTCTCCCTCTGTAAGCTCGTCCCCTCTCTCTTGAACCTTGATAATTGGTTGCTTCCTCCTTCTCTAATTACATCCCCTCTCTCTTGAACCCTAATAGTAACTGATTGATCCTTCTCTCTCAGGCCCATGTCCTCTCTCTTGAACCCTAATAACATGTTTGCATAAGATTCTCTCTCTTTAAGCCTTTTCTTTTTCAGCCCCTTTTATCTTTAAAGCCCTTCTTCTCACTTTCCTTTTTTTTTTTTTCTAAGCCCCTTTTACTCTCTCATCTAAACTTTTTACATTCTCCCTCTCTCCTTAGCAAATCTAATCAATGAGAAATTACACTACACAATTATAATAAAAAAATTTCACCCAACATAAGAAATTACACAACACAATTATAATATAAAATTTCACCCAACATAATCCTCATAAGATATTAGTAAAAGCTCAATTGAAATAAGATATCTCTTTAGTTTCTTCCAATGCTTTAAGATTTTCTACTGCAATTACCAAACCTTCTAGTTTACTAATCAAATTTCTTCCTATTTTTTAACTTGTACCATAAAGATTTTGATTTTGGTATCATAAATTTATTGTTTATTTGAAATTATATATAGAGAAACATTTGAAAGACTTCTATAAAAATAAATAAAAATAAGACTTATCACAATAAAATCATGTTATTTCAATCATATTATTCCAATGACTTATCATGTTGAACCCAAAGTCTAATCATGTTAGCCAAACACAGCCATATTTTTCATATTTGGATGGCAATGCATTTCTCACATTTCTTCGAGACAAGACAAAAAGTAAAACAGCAGCAATGTATTTCCCAAGTTGCATCTAAATACTACCCAAACAGTGACAATCCATTTGCAGGTAATGTATTACGTAGTAATGTATTACACCCACTTACCTAACAATTAATTACGAGGAAATATGACATTTCTACCTTTTGGGTACACTTTATAGCACTTTATAACGAGGAAATGGAAAGAGATTACCCGACATTTCCCCAAAAAAGTGAGGTAAAAAGGTGAACTTGACATGTAATCTTTAGAAATCTTTCGTGTGCATCTCTCTTCCCTATCCCAGCTTAATAAAATGCCAACTCACCCAACTTAATAAAATGCCAATGCCAACTCGCTTCCCTCTCTAAGCATGTCCCTCGGTTTGCTCCCTCCCTCTCTCTCTTGAACCTCATAACTGGTTGCTCCCTCCCTTTGTAAGCCCGTCCCTCTCTCTCTTTAAACCCTTTTATCTTTAAGCCCCTTCCTCTCACTTTTGCTTTTTTTTTTTTACAAGCCCCTATTACTCTCTTATCAAAACTTTTTTCATTCTCCCTCTCTCCTTAGTATATCTAATCAATGAAAAATTACACAGCACAATTATAATAAAAAAATTTCACCCAACATAAGAAATTACACAACACAATTATAATAAAAAATTTCACCCAACATAATCCTCATAAAAGATTAGTAAAAACTCAATTGAAATAAGATATCTCTTTAGTTTCCTCCAATACCTCAAAATTTCTACTGCAATTACCAAACCTTCTAGTTTACTAATCAAACATTTTCCCATTATTGCTTACTTGAAATTATATAGATAGACATATGAAAGACTTCTATAAAAAAACAAATAAAAATAAGGTTTATCACAATAAAAACATGTTATTCCAATCATATTATTCTAATGACTTATCATGTTGATACCAAAGTCTAATCATGTTAGAAGACATGTGATTCCATATAAGTACCAAAGGCATGCAAAATAAGTAAAAAATTATGTGATGATGAATTTCGAATGGTATAAGTTGTTATTAGAAAATCTTTCCATGTACGTGCCAAAGGCATTCAAAATAAGTAAGAAATTGTGTGATGATGACTTTAGAATGGTATAAGTTATTATTAGAAAATCTTTTTGAAATAGTAATGATGTTATTATTAGAAAATATTTTTTGAATGATGTGATGATGACTTTAATTTTGCATTTTAGTGGAATTTTGTGATAAAAAAAAAAGAAGAAATGATAGTTTATAGGTAAGTGCTGGTAAAATGTTGGTAATGAATTTCCCATAATTTTACATTTTAGTGGAATTTTGTGATAAAAAAAAAAAAGAAATAATAGTTTATAGGTAAGTACCGGTAAAATGTTGGTAATGCATTTCCCATATTTTTTCCAGACATAACCAAAGAGTAGTCATGTATTTCCTGTTTGGATACCTGGAAATATATTGTTTGTGAAATATATTATGGGCGTAATACATTACCTACAAATAGATTGTCACTGTTTGGGCATAATACATTATCTACAAATGGATTATCACTGTTGGGTAATATTTAGATGCAACTTGGAAAATACATTGCTATTGTTTGGCTATGTCTAGAAGAAATATGAGAAATGCATTACTATCCAAATATGAAAATATGGATATGTTTGGCTAACATGATTAGACTTTGGTTTCAACATAATAAGTCATTAGAATAATATGATTGGAATAACATGATTTTATTGTGATAAACTTTATTTTTATTTATTTTTTATAGAAGTCTTTCAAATGTCTCTCTATATATAATTTCAAATAAGCAATAAATCTATGATTCTAAAATCAAAATCTTTATGGTAGAAGTTAAAAAATATGAAGAAGTTTGACTAGTAAACTAAAAAGTTTGGTAATTGCAGTAGAAAAATTCGAAGCATTCGAGGAGACTAAAAAGATATCTTATTTCAATTGAGCTTCTATTAATCTATTATGAGGATTATATTGTGATGTTTTATTATGATTCTGTTGTGTAATTTCTCATCGATTACCAATTATTATTATTAATATGATTTATGTTTTTATACGAAACTGATGGCGAGCTACAAACCAAATTGGGGATAGAGGGATATAGAAATTTTTTATATTATGATTAGAATAGGAAATCGTCCCTCATCAAGTTCTACAATTGTTCAAATCAATTTACATTTCTCCCTACTTTCACTTACCAATTATTAAAAAATATTTTTTATGTTTTTATATGAGTGTCATATGAGTGCTACAACTCAAATTGGGATAGGGGGATGTTTAAATTTTTTATTATAATTGCAGTAAAAAATTGTCTTCTTAAATAATTATATTAGATTTCCCTTTTCATATCTCCTACTTTTACTTTCCACTTACTTTAAATAATTAATATTAGATTTCTCTTTTCATATCTCCTACTTTTACTTTCCACTTACCTTAAATAATTATAAGGTACATCGTATACTTGAGAGAGGGAAAGAAATGTTTTTTTATGCAGGATATAGCAGAGAGAGAAACGATTTCTAAAGATTACCTGTGTAATAGATTTTTCACTCATCACCGTGCGTAATGGATTTCATGATTTTTGAATAAATCTCAAGTAATGTCTTTCCATTTCTTTACTTTTAAATTGTACGTAATCCGTGTAAATGTCATATTTCCTTGTAATCTATTATCACGCAATAGATTTATTGGATAAACAATTTTTTTTTTTTTATACGACTTTGTAGTGCTAACTTTAATTGCCTATAAAATCATCTCGAATAGGAAACATAGGATTTAAAAAATTAATTTATAATTATGGCAAACATTAGTGATTTAAATAACATTTATTTCTATCATATCCTATTAGAGATAGAGGCGTGAAATTTTTTTTTTTTCAATGCCTTGCAATTCTATAATGCTTTTTTCTTGCTGCTAGAATAAAACAAGTTACCACAGCGAATAATTATGAATTTCTATTATTTAACTAATAATTTCTACTGATGTAGATAAGGGATTGTAATATTTTTTGAAATTGTCTTGTCCAAAAGAATATTTTTTGAATTTTCAAAGAAGAAATTCTATCATGTGGATAAAGAACTCACCGTACTCCAATTAATAATGTTTCTTACATATCTCCAACTCAGAATAATTCTAGAATACTGAAGTTTTTTTCTTTCTTTTTTTTCTATACTTTATCTAAAATTAAGGAACAATTATTAGAAAACCACTAAGCCAAATTGTCAATGCCTAAGTTGGCTTAGGATCATGAGCCTGGAGATTCTGGTATGTAGAACACTAGGACCACTAAGATCCTCTTGATTTCTGGCCTTTATTCTTATTTATGTGAAACATGAACCGATATGACTCAATAATTGCTAAGTGAGATCAGGAGAATCATATCGAGTCAAAGCCTGATTCCTAATTTTGTAACATTGCCCGTTTAAAACATCTTAATCTATTCAATCCTAAAGTTTAAAAGAAAAAGTATACAAAGAGACCATTTACTTTTAATACAAAGAGGTCATAATCGTTCTTGTCAGTCAAATCTCAAATCAGGTTATTGTGGGGTGTATCCTTGACTTGAATCAAAACTCAAAATAGAATTTCTTGAACTTTGTGACACACTCGAAGCTATCTATTTTGACATCCTCCTTATAATAATGATAAATGGTCTCACATATTACAATCTCATTTTAAAAAGGCAATTCCACAGTGAGTATTCAATTTCATTTTTGCTTTTTTTAAGGTCCAGGCTGAATAAATACTCCAAACAAGGGCCTTCCCTAAATTACGGCTTGAACTAGAAAATATAGCCTGAGGGCTAGGCTAGGGCCAAGGCCCAAGGCCGGCACTATTTAGCCCGGCTCTTTATTTTATTTTTTTTTTTTCTTCTTTTCTTTCTTACTTTGTTTTTTGGCCCGGTCAGGCCCTAAAGGGACAAGGGCTGGCCCAGCTCAGGCCCGGCCAATTGCCACCTTTAATTAGCTCCAACATAGGTTGGGCTTGACGGAATCAATTTACATGTTGCGCCCGCAGGAGCATAACATCATTTCACCAAATTTAAATTTATCATAAGAAACGAAACAGCCATAAATTCCAAAGAGGATACTCATTTGAGCAGTAGTGCTCAAGGGTTTTGTGGGACCTCTCCTAAAAGTGGAAAGAACATGGCAACACGTTTTATGGACCTTCATTCATGGAAGTAAACCGTCAGAAAAGAGTATTATGATCCGCGACAGAGAAAAGCTGTGACAGAGGATGGGACCTTTATACTGTTTAAGTATTAATGAAAACCGGGTAGGCCCTCTTTCCCATTGACTTACTTATAAAAAGAAAAAAAAACAAAAACAAAAAAATATGGGACCTATGTCATCACATTCTCTCCATCACCATCCATCACATAAAAATGGCAACGTTTGTGGTTGTAACTTATTTATGATATGACCATCTCAGTCTTTTAAAATGAGGTGATATTATGAAGAACAATGGTTTCATACATGTTGGACCGCATCTGTACAATATGTGGTCTAGAGGTATATAGCATCGATCTTAAAGATGGATGCAAATAGGTGGTCTATCTAAAAATAATTGTAACTAATAGTCCAAATGTTTATTTAATGTAATTATTATTATTAGTTTTCAAAATTTATCTATTGTTCATATTCATGATCTCCATATTAAAAATTACATATTCTCTAAAATTTAAGATCAAATTCTATTTAAATAATATATTTATTGCCAAGCCCACATTTGTATATGTGTAGGCTTGGCCGCATGCTAACCGCATCCTAATTTGAATCAAGTTTAGTGTATTGGCGATATGAGTCTATAACCTTTGGAACCATCCGATTTTCATACATTTTCAATTTTGTACAATCTTACTATCATTTTGCTTGATTTACATTTATTCAAATCGTTAATTTAGAACAAGAAACCCAATGATTAGTTCAACAGCCGATCCGATTATTAAAACACTGCAATCAATCGTGCAGATTATATATTTATTGGTGGAAAATGGATATGTGAATATATGTTCAAAAAAAAATAGAGATATGAACGTACATGTATCTGTATGTTTATTGGAGGGAGGGGGTCCACCAATGCCGAAAGGCATAATACAAGGCAAAAGCACCGACCCTGCGTTTGCCGTTTGGCATGTCATTAAAGAGGCACAGATTGTACGTTTAGGCAAGGACAGGAAACCTCAGGCACTAGGACAACCCTTCGTGAACTTCATACAAGGCCCCACACCCCCACCATATGGGTTATAAGTGGTTCTTTGGGCCCACCTATTGATTGGACGGTCTGGATTTTGAATCAGTGAAATGGGGAAAACAATTATAATAATTGCTTCTTATTTATAGCCAAATAATCAGAGAAATGGATTGTTTGATATGGGAAAAAAGACTTTTGGAGAAGCTTTAGAAAGGTCTGATAAATTAAAGGGATTATACACTTGGAGATCATTTATCTTATTACTCCTAACTATTAAATGAGAAAAGCCTTCTTTTTTTTTTAGTTATAATTTCTTCCTCAGTTAGTCTTCTTTTTCTTTCTTTTTTTTTTTTTTTTTTTTTGTTTTTTTTTGTTCGGCAATCGAGTTTGTGTGAATTAAATGTACATGGAAACCTTTGGGATGCATTATGGCTGATTCGAAGAAATGTTCCTAGTTTTGGGAATAAATGAGATTGAAAATTTCCATTACTTGGAAGGTTTCAAGTTTTTTTTTTTTATCATTTTAGTTTTTAACAAGAGTATTTAATTTTACTATAACACACACAAAGATTACAAAGAGAACAATCAAAGCAAAGAGTAAGGGAATTAATCAATACATCAAAACACCTCACTTAGCCAACCATCTATAACTTGTTAGCCTCTCTATAGACATGTTCCATTTGGCCCGAGGATATAGCTCAGAGCTCCGTTCTTACAATTAGGTCTTTACTATAACGGATTGGATATCTAATTTTTCAGGCGGTAATGATAGTATGTTGTATGCGAACGGATAACTCATTTTTTTCTAAGTAATGGGGAAAGACCGTGTAAATAAAAGACTTTATTGAGACAAAGATGGTCTATCAAGAACGTAGATGAAATAGGATTGGCAGTTGGTCAGATCTAATATGAATCATATATGGAGATCTAATATGACCCGTAATTGATGATTAAAAAGCACTTCCAACAAAGAAGTAATATCCATATTCTAGATTGATATAGATCTCAACCGTCACAGCGGTCTAGCCTCCTTATTACACCAATTTCTTACTCAAGACCCAAACACAATTTAATTTAATTGAACTTTTAATGAATGAGAGACAGGTCCACCATAAAAGCGAAAAGTCAATGACCACATTCCCTCAAAATAGATGGAGAGAGAGGTTTTGGACATTAAATATGTGGATATTGACCATTGTGGGTGAGACATTGGGTAGAGAGACACTTTCAATTGAGAGAGACATTAGGTAGAGAGACTCTTTCAATTGAGAGAGAGAGACTTTCAATTCAAATTTTTTTGGGGAGAAGGTAGAAATAGCTCTTTATATGGGCTAGGGCCCTTTACCCCACAGAGAGCCCATGCCCGGCTTTGGCCGGGTGAGGCCACGGCAAAACAAAAAAATAATAAATAAATAAATAAATGTTTAGGGCCAACAAGGCCGAACTAGGTTAATAATGCCTTAGACCGGCCGTCAAGCCACGATTTGCAGCCCAAACCCTACATTTTTTAAAGACTAGGCCGATCGGCGGACCGACCGGCCCACAATGAGCCTTAGCTGTTTAGGGGAAAAGAGAGAGTCTCAAGAGGGTACAAATTTTCCAAAAGAGAGAGAGAGTACAAATATGGAGAGAGAGAGTAGAAATAGTGTTTAAGAAGAAGGCCACCTCATCAATACATTTTCCTTCGCTTATTTGGGGGTTGGTATTGGGTAGTTTCGTAGAAGTTGGGATCAGGTAAAGGGTTCGTTTACAGACGTTAGAAGGAATCTACTTCTGATCGTTCCTTCAAACATATCAACGGCATAAATTCGAACAAACATTTGCTTCAAAAAAGTCATGGTTTTTATTCAGTCGAACATCTCCGCAACCAAAGAGAAGTACCTAGAGAGATAGAGAGCAGAGCATATTTTAGAGAGAGAAAGAGAGGCAAGCACCGGATTTCTAGCAGCCGCCCGTTGACCCGACAACCCATTTCAGGAGGAGCTTCAATTTCTTCACCATTAAAACTATCTAATATATTTAATACCCACTTTACTTTTTTTAGGCCCGGTTTTCCTTCTATTAAAAACAAATTATTTAATATTATTAATACCCATTTTCCATTTCCCCTCTCTCTCTCTCTCTCACGCAACCAGATCGATGCTGCTTGTCAAGAAATTTACAGCAGCATTCGATCAGGTTGTGGCTCTCTGTTTTCTTAACAGGAGAGAAGAAATTTAGCTCTTTTATTTACCCCCCTTTTTTTTCCTTCTTTGGGGCCCCCATTGTTTTAATTTCAAACTGTTGTCTTTGCACTATTGATGACTTTTGAGGAACTTGTCTTCTTTATTTGTATGTCATGGCATTCAACATCCAGCTTCTCATTGGTTTCTCATCAGATTCTGTTAAATTCCTCTTTTTTCAAGAGAGATAATTTTCATTCGCATCGGAGATCACGGTGAGGTAGCTGCAAATTCTATTGAATCTTACTGGTTTTTAAAGGTTTTCTGTGAATTTTATGTTGGTAAGACTGGGAATTCAGATTCATTAATCTCCGCACGTTGCCATCATTTTGGGTTTGTATGCTTTTGTCTCGTTTTCTCCATAACTTCATGGCGACCGGGAAATTTGCTTTTATTCTTCACAAGAGATTCGGGAAGTTTGCAGGCTCCTTGATCTATGCATTTCTTGAATGGGTTTTGATCGTTTTGCTGTTTCTTGGTGGCCTCTTCAATTTCATTGCCTCTGAATTTGCCCGCCTCTTTGAATTGCAAATTCCATGCTTGTTTTGTTCAAGGATTGATCATCTTCTCTCAAAAAAGGACCCAAACTTTTATTATAACGAGTTAATCTGTCATGCTCATGGAGTTGAGCTCTCTTCATTGGCCTATTGCCATATTCATAGGAAGCTTTCAGATGTTCGAGCGATGTGTGAGGGTTGTCTCCTCTCTTTTGCCACCGAAAACAAGTCGAATTCAGAGACTTATCGATCACTGGTTGGAATTTTGGGTGCAGATCTTGAGTGTTCGATTGTCGATGACCATAGGATTCCCCTCAAATTGCCTACAGATAATTGTAAGCATGAAAAAATGGCCCTTTTGGAGAACCCAACAAGAGAAATCTCTGAAAATTCTAGGCCTCAGCTCTGTTCTTGTTGTGGTGAGCCATTGAAAACTCGATCACGACTGATTCGAGCTATATCAACTGGAAGCAAATTAACTGAATTCCCCATCTTTTCAATGAGGGGCATCGATCAAGAAGAGTTATTGAAGAGGAGAGACACTTCTGTGAAAACAGAAGAACTTGCAGGCACTAAAAACGCTGAATATATGGAAAAACGAGGCTTTGATCCCTTATCTCATATTGGATACATGGAACTGAACGTCCATTCTGATTCTGAATCTGAGATTCCAGATGAAGATGATTCAAGTATGGTGGAAATTTCAGAAGGTAATGGTGTCAAGGAAGAAGAGCCATTGGATCATTCATTGGAAACACCAATACAGAAGGACTTGCTTCTAGAAACAGTGAGCAAAGCTTCTGAAAAAGTTCCTGATGAGCAATTGCATCTTATAAAACGCGATATTTTGGCAAGGGATTGCTTGCCCAAGGATGTAACAAGAGCTCCTGATGAGAGTATGATGAGGTCCAGCGAAGAAGTTAAGGAATTGCTCACACAAACAAAGGAAGTTGGGGAATTTTGTGATGTGGCTTTAGACATGGTTTAGAAGATCTTGATTGGAGTGAGGATCTTTCTGCTCAGCCGCTGACGCCTGCTAAGGTTGTTGAAGCTGTTGTAGTGATAGGAATCGCAGATCAAGGTGAGTTCATAATCCTTTATGGTTTCTGGAATGAACCCAAAAGTTATAGCCTGGTTTCTTGATTATTTCTTGATGGATGTCATACTCATTCAGACTAATTGGATGGGTGCTAGTTTAACAATCACACACACACACACACACACATACCCACACAAAGGAAAATATTTTCCTGGCTATCTACAGGTGATTTTGAAACTGGTTTCTGCTCCTCCTGTATTATTGATTTCATTCTAATCAAGAACTAGTAAAGTTATTGCTTGGTTATCTTGATTTGTTCCTTAATGAGTTATTTTAATGGAGGCTAACAGCTATAGCTGACTATTAGGATTTTCATGCTAGTTATGGAAGGTTTTGAAATGGGGTTCTTTCACCTTAATTGTTTATCATTCATTTCTAGTGAGAATTGTTGATCATCATTTGTACTGATGAATCCAAAAAATTTATTGCTTGGTTTTCTGGACTTCTTTCTTAAGAGAAGAAAGTCATGTTCATCAAGACTAATTTGGTGGGTGTTATCCAATGATTTTGAGTGCGGTTAAAACACAAAAAAGAGAAAAATTCCTGTCAATATATGGATGGTTTTGAATTTGGGTTCTTGTGCTCCCAAATGTTTTTGACATCCTTTCTAATATTGTATTACTATGTAGGTCCGATGAATTTTATCATTTAAAAATCAGATAAAAGTCATCTGACATTTAAGAGATCAGAGAGTTTATGAACCTTCCATTTTTTATTTTTAGAATGAAACTAAAAGCCATTCTCATGTTTTTTTAGAATGTAATTTAAAAGCCATTATTTGTATCTCTCAATTTTCTTTGGATGTCTCTATGTTGTTCCAGTTTTTTGGAATGTAACTGAATGCCATTCTCTTGATTTTTTTTATTTTTGACTCCTTAATGAAATTCATCTCCATTTGAGACTCATTTCTTGAATGCTAGTTCTTTGACAATAATAATAATTTGGTTTGTACTCTATCCATTTGTGGTTTTGGATTTAGGTTTTGAGGTTCCACTAATTCTTGTGCATTCCTTTTTATTACTTTATTCTTTTTGTTGTTCTCATGAAGTTTATGTTTTATATAATCAACTTTTATGCAGCAGATGTTGAAGAGATCAAAGAGGCTGATGTGGGGATTTGTCAACAGAAATCTGAAGTGGAACTCAATTCAAATGAAGCTTCCCCAGTTCTTTCGCCACAAATTGAAGAGGCTTCAGCTTTGGCAACTGATTGCATGGACTTAAATGATGTTTACAAGCTTGCTACATCTAATAAGGTGAATGAGACTTTGACGAACATTGTCAGAGACGCCCCCAGTGATAAGAATGACTCATTGAGGCCACAAATCGAAGTTAAATCTATAACTACCCGGTCATTTGCCTCTCAAGGATTGGAAAATATATGGAATGAGAGAACCTCAGATGTACCTAGTCCTTTTGGGGTTCTCGGGCTACCAAAAAGGCTTTCGATTGAGAGAAATGAATCTGGTTTTGAATCCTTGGATGGAAGTATCGTGAGTGAAATTGAAGGTGAGAGTGTCATTGATCATCTGAAAAGGCAAATTCAAGCTGATCGAAAGTCCTTGATGGCTCTATACAAAGAATTGGAGGAAGAAAGAAGTGCTTCTACAGTTGCTGCAAATGAGGCCATGGCCATGATTACTCGGTTACAGGAGGAGAAAGCGGCGATGCAAATGGAAGCTCACCAATACCAAAGAATGATGGAGGAGCAAGCTGAGTATGACCAAGAAGCACTTCAGGTGACAAATGAACTCCTTGCTAAAAGGGAGAAGGAAATCAAGGATTTGGAAGAAGAGCTAGAAACTTACAGGAAAAGGTTCCATTATGAGGAAGCACAAGAGGAAGCAAAAGGTGGGTTTTATTCAGATGTGGAGTGGCATGATAATATGAAAACAATTGACAGTGATTACCAGAAGCTCAAGTCTCAGTCTGCCTCGTCAATTAGTGGAAAATCAGAAAGTGGGGCTTCTGGGGAGCTTGAGATCCAAGGAGAGGTTGATGGGAAAAATGAGCAAAAAGCCAGCTATATCACACCCATCAATGAAGACAGAGAGGAAAAGGAAATGTGGGTTTTGGAGGGAGATTTGTTAGATTTTGAAGATGAGAAGCACTGCATATTGGAACATTTGAAAACACTGAAACAGCAGCTTCACTCTCAATCAAATGGTGAGGGGCATCCAGTTTTGTCTAGTTCAACGGCCGACGCCAATTTAGAGAATGCTTGTGCAAATTTCACAATTTTTGGAAGAGAAAACGACACATGTGATGAGGTAGAAGTTCAATGGGATAAAGAAGTTGAAAATGGTCACGTGGAAGAATGGAGTGACTCTCCCGTGGAGCTTGATAGAGGAAATGAGTCCAACGTTATTGGAGAAATATTAGTTCTTGATGAGAGGTTGGAAGCCCTTAAGGCAGATAGAGAATTTATAAAGCATGCAATCAAATCACTTGGGAGAGACAGTGAAGGACTGCAGCTCCTTCAGGAGATAGCCCAGCATCTGCAAGAGCTACGAAGGGTAGAGACAAGGCCACTGGATGATGGTTCCCAATGAATCTGATGGTAATTAAACTCTTACTTTCTTTTCTCATCAGAAATCATTGAACTTTTCCATTTTTGAACTCCATGGCCTTTGTAGTCTTGAGGTATGTTACCCAGCTACCAAAATGGTTGTACCATGCCCTTTGTAGTCTTGAGCTATGTTACCCAGCTACCAAAATGGGTGTTGCTTTCCAACACATTTCCAAGGGGTCAGACACTGCACCTTAAAATTAAGAAATGGGGAGAAATCCTCCAAAATGACTTTTATAGAGTTAGAAATAATAATAATGAAAACTACACTAAAATGAGATAAATATATGAAAAGACATGGTATAGAAATAAGATTAAAATAAAATACACCACAAAAGTGTAACTGTCAAAAAACAGGTGGGCTTCAAACCGATATCATAAGCTGGCTGAATCATGCGTCATAATCCGCACACCTCTACACAAGTTGTGACTTTCTTTTTGCTCTATATGTTTCTTTAACTCATTTCTGGTCTATTTCTGCATCGTTTTACAGTTTAAAACTGGAGGTGGTAGCCTTAGTGGTTTTTTGGGTAACATAGGTCAGGGTGATAATTTGAGATCGTATCATTATTTGTACTATTTGCTGTAATATAAGTTGTTTGTAATATGAATTTCATATACTTCTTTAATGTAGGTGGTCTTATGCTAGTCTGTTAAGAGGATAGCACATTTGGTCTTCTTTCCAATGTACTTGTCATTACATCTCCCGTTCACTTCTTCATTGTATCCATTCTCGGATTGCCTCAGATAGTCAATGAACTGTTTGGAACTGAGCCCTTTTGGCTGGTCATGTTGCCAACACACATGGAGCCTTTGGTGTCCTCATTTATGGCCAATGGTGGGGATCTATGATCACTGTTAACTTTGATTTGTCCAAAGAGATCAAAGACTTTGTCTTATACCTGGGCCAAGTGAAGAGACTACATGAAGTTATATGTTTTGTTGAAATTATGTTTGTCCCCTTTGGTTTACACTTTATTTTCCCCGAGAAGTGTTGTATATATCTTAAAATTGCAACGCGTTCAATGGGGTTGAGCTTGTCATGCTCAGTGATAGTATATTTTCATAACAAATACATCCCATTACATGGTAGTTGCTGTTATTCTTCTTCAATTGGTGACTTCCCATTTTAGATAGTTGACACCATCTCATTGATGAATTAGGCTGATATAAAACTGCTCAAATAAACATATGGAAGATTACGCACATGAACATGGTCGATAAGATATGGGCTAAATTCAGTCAACGGTACACTCCAGCTTTGGAGTCTGAAGTTCTCATTTGGGTTGCTTTAATTTTTCCTAGATGCATGGATAAAATTTGAACATATTTTCCCCTAGTTTTTTGATTGCCTAAGACATAAAATATTAGTAAAAGTTTCTTTGTTTTTGGGGAAATAACTTCTAATCTGGTTTAAACATTTACATCTTGTCGTGTGTAAATCAAATGTGTTGTAGTGAGGTATGTTAGTGTGGGATTTCTGCAAAAGATGTTCAGTATTAAAAAATGCGTCCATAGGAGGAAGGTCTCAAAATGCAAAGGTCTGATCTCTGAACTGGTGGCTCCTTCTTTGGCTAAGGGATACAAGGAAGCATTTGACGCTCTCCACAAGTGGCTAAAGGTAACGATAAGGACTGATAAATGAGCAAACTTGTCAAAAATATGCTCCAATCTCCAGGGGCATGGGGACGAGTTGTTGGTTCACTTTATAACCTTCCTCTCGTATCCTTCGATTAGGAGAATTGGCACGCAGTTTCCATTGAACACTTTGAAGCCAAAACGTAAAGTTCGGGCTTCTGCATGTGTTTCATCCCCTACTCCAATAAGCTCTAAATATGTTAGTAAAGCTTACCCCAAATGGTTTCTGTAAATTCCTTCAACGCCCTCCATGCCTGGGTTACCAAGTGATCTTCCAATTGCAATAGAGTATGTTCATTCCAATTTCTGGTGGAACCCAATGCAAGGAGTGTGTTATTGCAAAGGAATTGACCAAATGATTTCCTTCCAGTGTTGGTCGTGCGTGTCAAAGAGGAGGTAAATTCTTTGTTTTCAAGACAGAAATAATGGAAGCTTTGATCCTGTCCCTAGGAGAGTCAATGTGTAGTCTTTCTTTTCCCCTGAAGATGCATCGGTCGTGCTCCAAACAGATGCCCCAAATAGAGGCCCGTAATGAGGAAAGCCACAACAGTAGGCTGGCTGTTGGGGAGGGTGGGGAAGAAGGATTGTCATAGCTGCGTGGCTGATGCAGGCTTTACCCTGGGCAAGTCAAATAGGTTAAGGAAGAAGGGCAATATTTGGGAGAGTGGATAAACAGATGGTCCATGGTCTAATTGTACTCCTAGTACATGGGTCATTGATTTGGTAATTAGATTTCTCTTCTCTGAATATGATCCACAGTAAGTGCTTTTTAATATTATCAACCAATTAAGGGCCTGCACATTTGGTGGTACGGGGGTAAGCCAGGCCTTGGAGGCTGCTGCTATGAATGGGACAGGATGAGTGAGGACCTTGTAGAATTAGGAAACCAAATACCTGCTTGTGATGCATGGTGTCAATATCATTTTTTCTCTGCTGGAGTGGGTCATGATGTAGTGCTGTAATGTTTCTAACATTGAAACCAACTCAGAGGTTTCTGTCTCCTCCAGATTTTACCTTATTTTGGGCGACCTGACAGTTTGTCTCTCCAGCAATTCACGGTTGTCTGAGACAGTGACATCTTTGTTTGAGGCAATGAGGAATGGGTTGAGGAAAGCAATCTTGAGTGGCTGTTTCTTATCCATGTGTTCTTCCAAATCTGATTCCACTTTTGACTGCTTATCTGATTTTACTCAAAAAAGACAGGAAGGTGGACGTAATATCCTTCCAAGCTATGGATGTCTAGGAGCCACCCAGATTCATTGGGTCTGTTTGATCGCCTGCTGATAAAGATGATCTTCCTTGTTGGCATATGACCACCACCATTTGCCAAAGAGGGTTATATATTGCGGTCTCTCAACTTCCTCATGCCCCTAGCTCTTGGGAGTGCATACAGCTTCCTAGATGAGATGAAACTTATGGACACCGCAAGCAGATTTTCAAGCATGCTTTTGATGGAGGCAGGCATTGTGGATACTGACATTTAAAAGGAAGGGATATAGGAAGGGTAGCCATGATGACGGTGTGTCAGCCAACAAAGGACAAAAAGCTGCTCTTCCAGGCCACTAATTTGTGCTCAAACTTCTCAATGATTCCAGAGGGATTTCTTCCATTTTAGAAGTCTGTTTCCTAAAACTTTTCATGGTCTTTAAACTTCCTTCCAAAGAAAGATTTGGCAGAAATAAGATAAATAAGAATATACAATCTCAAACATCACTGTTACCACATGCTTCTCAACTTAATCAGGTTCCATCGCCCAAAACATTGTAATTTATGAGAGCAATTTATCTCAAGGGGCATCAGAAGCAAGTTTACCAATCAATTATGCAATAGGGCATATTGATCCTACTAACTCAAATGAAAGAGAAATAAAGATAAAAGGACTTTCAACACTTCCCCTTAAGCTTGAGCATAAATTTCACCTATGCCAGCTTGAATCAAATTGTTTGGAGTACATTACAGTCAAGGGCGTTGGTGAAAGATGTCTGCCAACTGATGATTAAATTTCACATATAGAATAGACAATTACTTGCTACTAATCTTCTCCTTAATAAAGCTATTGTCTGCTTCAATATGCTTAGTACTCTCATGAAATATCGATTGCTGGCTATATAAATTGTACTTTCATTATAATACATCTTCATAGCCTCAACAAAGTAAATCCCATCTCCTGCATCATGTCTTTAGCCACATCACTTCACATGTACTACATGTCCTTTCCTTTATATTCAGCCTCTACACCAGATCTAGCCATTAAACCATGCATGTGGGGACTGCTTCAGACTGTAAATAGCTTTCTTCAACTTATGTACCTTGTCTGACTCCTCCTAAGCAACAAACCCAAATAATTGTTCCCTATACACCTCTTGTTGTAAATCATTATGGAGGAAGGAATTCTTCACATCAAGCTGCCACTGTGTTGACCCCTCGTTTGCTGCTACATATATAACTACTCAAACTAAATTAAGCTTAGTATAAGAGCAAATGTTTTAAAGTTATCAATGCCAAAGGTTTGGGTGTATCCTTTGACAACCAAATTGGCTTTTAATATTTTGACAATGCCATCAGGCTGATATTTTACTCCATAAACCCAACGACACCCAACAATCCTTTTCAGTAGGTAACTTAGTAAGCTCTTATGTATCATTCGAGTCGAGTGCGTCCATTTTCTCTTTCATTGCTTTCTTCCACCAGTATGAAAGTTCTTCTTGATCAAACTTGGGATTGAAATAGATGAAAGAGCTAAAGCCAATTGATAGGATGCAGATGAATTTATAAAGTTGACAAAATGAGCAATGGGATATTGAGTACAAGACCCTATATCTTTATGAATGGCTATTGGTACATTATCATCACCAGGCACAAATTGTGTGTTGAAAGCATGAAGTGGATCTATAGGCGAAGATGATGATTGAGTGGCTGGCTGAGCCAGTGTAGGCTACTCCAGAGGTACATCATGATGTGTAGAAGTAATAGGTTCGGCATATCCAAATAACTGAGGTGAAGAAGTATCAAGAAGAATAGAAAAAGGAACTAAAGAATATGATAACGTGGAGACTTCTTTAAGAGAAGAATAAAAGAAATTTGCATTAAGCATATGACCATCTTCTAAAAAATAAGAATTGCTTTTAAAGAAAGGTAACATTAACAGAGACAAATTTCTTTCGTAAACCAGAATGATAACAACTATAACATTTTTGGAATTGTGAATACCGCAAAAAATCACACTTGACAGTTTGAGGATCCAACTTATCATCACCAGTACCTAACACATGAACATTGGAAACACAAACAAATACTTCAGGAGGAACAACAAACAATGGAGTATCAAGAAAGAGAACAGAGAGCAGTATTTCTCCATTCAATACTGAAGAGGGCATACAATTAAATAAACCACATGAGTGCAGCAAGGCATTCCGCAATAAGCTTTTGGAACATTCATATTAATTAGCACAAAGCGGGTTACTTCAAGTAAATGTTGATTTTTCTTTCAGTAAACCCATTATGTTGAGGAGTATGTGCATAGGAAATTTGATGTAAAATTCGATTTTGAGCAAAACAATTTTGAAATTCTCTGGAAAGATACTCTTTAGCACTATTAGAATGTAAAATACACACGTTCTTATTGAACTAGGTTTAAATCTCCTTGTGAAACACTTAGAAATGGAAAAAATCTCGTATCTTTCTTTTATTAAATGTAAGCATGTCATTCGTGAACAATCATCCATGAAAGTTACAAAATATCTATGACCAGACAAGCAGGACCTCAGATATCAGAATGAACAATTGTGAATAGAACAAGTCCTCGTTAATCAATCCTAGGTTGAAAGACACCCTAAGATGACTCACAAGCCTCACACTAAGTGTAGACAAACTCTAAAGAAGGAACTAACAACTTCAAGTTATTGAGAGGACGGCCCAACTGACAATGCCATAACAAGGGAGAAGCAACAGATTGAAGAGTAGATCTAATTAGGTTATGATCCAAATAGTATAGGCCGCCTAAGTCATACCCACCACTATGCATCCTTAGATCCTGAATAAGGGTGGCAAAGGGCCGGTGGTGGCCCGGCCCTAAAAAACTAGGGCCTGGGCCACAAAATGTGGCCCGAGGGCCGGGGTTGGACCAGGCCAAGACAAGCCCGGCCCGATTCAACCTGGTTATCCCTTACTTCTTCATCTTTTTGCAATGTTTTTATTTAGTTTTACCCCGTACGGCCCTCCCTGTATAGGGCTAAGGTGGGGCTTGGGCCGGCCCTCAAGGGAATAAGGCCGGGCTAGGGCGAGGGCCAGCTCAGCCTGATGCTAGCCCTAATCCTGAAAGACACAAGAAGGATAAAAGGTATGGAACAATGAATATATTTTGTTAATTTACTCATAGACAATAAATTGAAAGGAAACTTTGGAACATATAGCATAGAGGACACAAAATAGGAAGAAATAAGCATAACTATACCCTATCTGGGCATCTAGACTGTTATCCATTAGACAAAGTAACAAAGGAATTAGGGAGACACTTATCTGAAGATACGAAAATAATGGACTATCCAGTCATGTGGTTGAAAGCTTCCGAGTCAATAACTTAAGGAGTAGGTTTCTGAGACACAAGAAGCTTAGAAGTACTTGAGTTAGCAAGGGTAGCAGTGGAAGTGGATGGGTGGCAATAGGCTTTTGTACTTGTTTAATAAGTTTATTACACTCTTCTCTTGAAAGCACAACAGAGTCACCAACATAATTAGACTATTGTTGATCACTAGATCCATTCAGATAAACATCATCACTCTCAGATGTTTAATGTGATTTTCCCCAAGCACGCTTATGAACCTTATTGTAGTATTTATCAACTGTATGATTTCTATGCTCACAATGCGTACACTTTCAAGTTTCACAAACCTTGCATTCATCACCTCTACCATGGCCTCTTCTTAAGCCACGACTCACGACCCTGTCCCCGACCTGTGCCTCCATCTTCTCCTCCAACAAATGTATTCAATGCCGCTCCATCTCTAACACTCAAGTCGGAAGAAGGCGTAGTATGGGAGATATATTGACATGTTGAATGTGCTCATACACATTATTGAGGGACAGTAGTTCGCAAATAGGATGGTACTCTGGATTATGACTAGATAAAAATTTGGCAACTCTAAATTCTTCATGCTACTTCCTCCGTAATTCCACATCACTAGATATAGGCTGATGCAGATTCAGTTCTTTCCATTTGCCTCTAAAGGCACCAGAATATTCACTCATACTCTTATTACCTTTTTGGAATTGAAATATTTTCTCAATCGACTCCTATACCAAAGAGATATTCTTATCTGATGAATATGTTTCTTTTAGAGTGTCTCAAATTTCTTTAATAGTGGCAAGAAGCATCACATTTGCTGTTATTTGATGTTCCATACTACCCACAACCAAGTCGTGATTATTTTAAACTCTCTCATCCTCTCTTCTTACCTACTATCAGATTCACTAGGCTAGTCCTCAATCAAGTATTTCAGTTTCCCCTTGAACCAAGGGATACTTTAACAGGTTGAGCATGTACAACATAATTGGACTCATTTAATAATTGGACTCATTGTGTTGAGTCCAAAATAGACCTCAGGCACCTCTCATTTTTCCTTTTTATATTAATGAAAGTTGAAAAATGGCAATACTGCCCATACAAATTGGAAATAAGACATATAAGTCCTAATAACTTAAATGAACTTAAACGAAAGAGAACTAAATCCTTCTGCCTTTTGTACTTTTTCACAATATTAGTATTATTGGTGTTACTTCATTTGGGCATAACAACATGAGATGGGACTTGTTTTCTACCATCTAAGTCAAACATCGTCTTGAAGACCTTCCTTTCTTTTGGTCCTACTTCTAGTGAGTGTACAGATACCACATATGAGAAACCATGTGTCATGAGCGATACAAGTAAAACAATTGTGTTTAATATGATATCTCTACCTCATGTGAAACGGTTATTGGATACCTTGTTGGCAGCTTTTTTTCATTTTTTTTTCTTTTTATGAAAACTCCTTTTTAGATTTCTACTATCCTTCCCTCATTCTGTCAATAATAGTAGACCACTGGTGAAACCTAATATATAAAGATTGAAGGGGAGGAAAGATGCAAATAGGGCCTTGCCAAAATTGCAGTCATTCAGTCTACCTACTAACACACTGTCATCAATAGTGAAGTAACAAGGTTTCGAGATTTTATTTGAACTTGATTTTGGTCCATGTGTTCATAGATACAAGAGAACCTTTTTGGATATTTTTTAAGGTTGCCTGTTTTCAGATGCCTCTTTTTTTATCATGCTTTCCATCACATTTAAAATGGTTTGTGGGCCCACCCCCTTATTTGTGCTATTTTCAGGTAACTATGATTCCCTCATGTCCTTCTCATGAAGCAATCCATGTTTTCCAGAATATATCGCTTAGTTCCAATGTTTATGAAAGAAGATATGCCATCCCAACCCTCTTATTTGGAAGGAAATGGTTGAAAGCATCCAATCTAGCCACAAAAAAATGAATGTCCATAAATAAAGTAAATAGCCCCCATGAGGTCGATTGCAAGCATTTAGCTTTTCTGTTCCCCTTACAATTGATTGAGAAATGTGGAGTGTAGGTTCTTGCTGCTGCTAGAAAACTTCATCAAAGATCACTATAACTAATGTTATGTCTTTTGGGGAAGTGGTACACATCTTCATTGAAAAAGCCGGATCACCAGTTTTTTATTCCAATTGTCATCTGAGCTCATCTGCTAGCTCCCAGATCATTTTCTCCAGAGCATTGGACTACATGACCAGAAATCTGTGAAATACATTTTCCCTCCATTCTCAAGTAGAAACAGTGTTTTTCTATCAACTCATTTCTCAACCTAAATTCTGATATTCAAGAATTCCCAATTGCTAATGTTATCTTTGACTGCTTCGTGCTCCTGGTTTTTTATTATTCTCGGTCATCCATCCCAAAGCCTCATAATTGTTCCATCACTTTTCCCATATTGTAGTATCTAGAACTTGAATATTACCAAAAGAAAATTTGTTTGAGGAATAATGAGCATAGGGGTTGTACCTCCTCCATAAATAGCCCTCGGCATTGAAAAAGCAGCAAAGAAGATGATTAAAACTAAAACACCTCTAACATTTATGCATGGTACATTCTTCAGCCTCATTGGTTTAGTAGGCTTGTATTCGCAAATTGGACATTAGTATAGCCACCCTTCCATCCCAATCAATATAATAAGACCCAGAAATATAGAGTATTTTTATAAATGAAAGAATGCGCACACACATAGGCACATGCAGACACTCTTACACTTGACTCTTGATTTCTATATTTCTTGAACTATTTTTAGAGTTATCGCCACTATCAAAAATTTGATTAACATAGATGCTTTGTGTACAATTTTAAATAGCAGTCACTAGTTCCTTGACTTTCAGGGCAGCTGTTATCTTCTACATTGAACCTAAGAAATCTCTAGTCAGTGTAGTGCAGCCTCTATATGGATGTTCCTTTAAAAATCATAAAGAATGGTTTATCTAAACTAAATGTTTTTTTTTTATAAAGTTAATGATGTATTAAAGGGAGAAAAAGATACATAGGTAGACAGAGAGGACCCACATGCCGGGCTTCTCAGTCAAAAAATGAGGAAACCTCAGGGGTGAGGTATTGTACAAAGATGAGGTCTAAAAAGAAAGACTAAAACTCGTAAACAGGAGCCTTGGAAGCAGAGGCTGAAACACCAATGTGAAGAGACGGGAGTGACAGTTGTAGCAGAAACAGACACAAGGGTAAAAGTAGTTGCTAGTAAAAACTGAGCCCCGGGGCTAAGAAGTGGCAACGGCTTGTGTGATCGCTCCCTCCTTAGCTAGTCGGTCCGCCAGGCCGTTTGTTTATCTAAAATGATGTTATGAATGGATGTTAAAATCAAAATTTAAGAGATAGCTGACCAATTTGGTTAATCTTACAATTGTCACAAATGCATAGTACAAGAAAATATGGAATGGGGTTTAGACTTCTGGGTGATACCAAATGACATGCTACTCTTGCCTTTGTGAATATGTGGGCTCTCTTTTAATGGATTTATTGTCGTTTCATGTTCTTCTACCAACTTGAGTTCAAACTTGCACCAGTTTTTTTTCTGCTGAAAATGTACCTTGTTAAATTTGTTAACTAATAATATTTTATTTCTTCTTTGTCTATCATAATTGTGTCATATAGTTTTTGTGTTTTAGGATCATCACCTTTCTTTCCTTGTATGAATCAACCAAGGTGCATAATGTTTCACCTGTGAATCTTTTGTTGCAACAGAAGAAAACACATTACGAGTTGCCTCTGGTTTTTGGATCTATAAAGGATGAAGTTATGCCAAACACCATCGGTGATGTGAAATTTTTGAGAATATTGAAGAGGAGCCAGCTTCTTCATGACTGTGCATATGTTCCTCCCTTGTTTGTGAAACTCTCTTAAGAGGTTTGTGCATATGTTCCTCCCTTGTTTGTGAAACTTTCTAAGAGGTTTGTGCATATGTTCCTCCCTTGTTTGTGCATATGTCAGTACAGAAGATTGTCTTTGTTTTTGGCCTAGTGAAATTTGGTGCTGCTTGATGGATTCTTAAGTTAAAGAACAATGGAGGCCTCGATTGTAATGTAGTGTGGTGATTGTCCAGATTTCGATTATTTCAAGGAAGATGGATGGAATTTATCCATATGTATTTGATTTCTCTTACATGTGATTGTATATTGTTAAGGGATGTAACATGATGCATGGTTGTATGATTGAGTGAAGTTTTGGAAACTAAAGTTATGGAATTTTTGAAGGATTTCACATTATAGTTTAGGCATGTTATTGGCGTCCAGCTTAATACATTTTAATTTTTTAATTAATTGGAACATCGATAATCACTTCTTGATTGTAGATGAATAACATTCATTGACAGCAACTGGTATGATTCAGAGTGAAGGACCTTCGACACTGTTGGGGTCACTCTCTCTCTCTCTCTCACTCTCACACACACACGTGCAGCATATTTGTGTGTATCATGATAGTCGTGCTCAAGGCTACACAAGGATGCTTGGAAGCATAAGGCTTTTTCCCCCTTGTCAATACAGTATGTGATGCAAATTAGCATTTTAATTCTATGCACATTAGCGTTTTGATTCTTCTCATATCAGCGTCTTAATTCATCAAAAACTCAATTAAATAACAAGCTTGAAGGGAAAAGAATAGCCGAGAAGGAAAAAAACTAGCGAAAACAATGAGGTATCCACCTCCAAGTTTTATTAACTGAAAGTTATTAAGCCAAAAGTAACAAATCTCCCCAAAACCTTCAATAACAAGTATTTAAGCAAACTCAAGAGCCTAACAGCTCGTAGAAAATCTTGGCCATCTATTCTTTTTAATCCTAGTCATCAATCATAAACTTAAAATAATGACTAGCCCTGCCCTAATAAAATTGGATAGAATAACTAAAATAAAACATAAATGCCCAAAATAACATCTTTAATTACATTATTTTGCCATTTTTGTCACCCCATGTTCCTATGCCCTTTCCTTGCCTAGCCATGAACTATTGGTTGTTGTTGGGGCAATGGTTGTATCATTCACCCCCAGCTGAAAGGAACTTGACTCTTGTAAGTTGTCTTCGAAATAAAGCCAGTATAAATTTGTATCCACCCCCTTGAACTGTTGCTCTGAAATCCACATACTATCGGAATATGAGTTTACCTTCCATTGATTAGATAATGGCAATATAACCCTTTCGAGTTTGAAAGCTTTCAGTCTTCAAGACTTTTTCAATTATTTTTTCTTTCTTTCTTGGTAAATGTCTTCTTGGGCTTTTAGAGGGTCCGATGATTCAAAAAAATAAGCAACATTAAGTATCTATGAGATTTCTAATGCTTTTGGTAATTCCACTCCATATGCATTATGCTTGTATTTCTTCAAAATTCGGCAAGGGCTCACCTTTTTGGATTTGAGCTTATTGTAAATTCCTAATGGAAATATCTCTTTTCATAAGTAAAGCATTACTAAGTCACATTCCTTGATATCTTCTCTTTTCTATATTCATTTATGGTATCCCGATACCTCGCATTATGTTTATCAAGTTTCCTCTTTTGGGCTTATAAGTCTCAAATATATCAAGAAAAGCATTGGCATTATCACTTACCTTGCATTAGTGATGGCACTAGATTGAGCGTATGATTAGGACTCCTCCCATTAACAATATCAAATGTTGATTTTCCCATTAACAGATTCACCAAACTTTGTACGCAAATTCAGCCTAGGGTAAAGTGATGTTCCACTAAGATCGATTACCACCAATAATAGTCCTCAAGAGGTTACTGGAGCTCACTTCAGCTTGCCCATCTGTTTGAGGGTGGCAACCACTAGAATATTGAAGCATGGTTCCCCAGCACTTCCACAGAGAGTAAAAAAATGACTCAAGAACTCTATATCCCAATCAGATGTAATAAACTTAGGGACACAAAGTAGCCTCATAATCTCCTTGAAAAAGATATTGGCACTATGTGTGGCATCCATAGTTTGCCTTCAAGGATAAAATGTTCCATCAAACGGTCAACAACAACATGTGTGATTTGCTGCAGTATTTGTACGAAGTACATAGAGATATCAACCTATGGGACATCTAGAACAGGTGGGGAGTATAAAGACCCGTATTAAAATACGTGGCCCTAAATATTTGGCAAATTCATGATCGGGCTACAAATCTGTTAACATCCCTTCGGATGCCCGGCCAAAAATATTTTTCTTCCACCATAGCCAAAGTTTTGTCTCTCCCAAAGTATTCACTTAAATCCCACCATGAAGTTCCATAATCATCTTCTCACTTAAAGAGTAATCAAGTATACATAATCTTACACCCTTAGATAAATAGGCATCATACATTAGGTACTCACCCATAGGATCTTGCCCTTCAATGCATCTTTCTAAGACCTTGCTAAAAATTAGATCAACCTTATATTGGTTTTTTATCATTTTCAACCCCACTACTTTCATAGCCAAAATTCCAAGCAAAGCCAACCTCGTTTTGGGTTTTGACCTTGTGCTTTAACAAGAAGGTATATTTTGAAGAAAGGTTTTCCAGTTGGCATGACATGCATTATCCAAGTGCTTCATTATCCAAGTATAAAATAAACTTCCTATTGAATCAAGCAGTGCCTCCAATAATACAAGGTATAAGGCATTGCACAAAAGTTGAGGTCATAAGTTGAATACTTTTCACGTTTATCATTCAATTTCTTATAAAAGAAAGCCACTAGTAGCCTTTTTTTAATTTAGAACTACCTTATGCCAACATTTGATGTATCAGTTTAAACTTTGGATGCCTTGGAAAAATCTAGTAATGTGAGAACTGGTACTTGCATCATCTTTTGTTAAATTAAAGTGAAGCTCTTATCATTTGCAGGACTATATCAAAACTTTCCAACCCTGATACATTCAATCATTACTATTAGTATGTGAAAATTTATTATAAAGCGACGATAAAAGGTTGCTAAGTCATGAAAGGAATGCACTTTAGTGAAGGAGCCTTTTTTTAAAAAAATAAATGAAAAAAAGTAATTCCTTCCTTAGTACATGAAAGACTTGTTCGAAGTAGTTAAGATTATCCTTTGGGTTAGCATTTAAAACCAAGATATTGTCATAATTTAATAATGATGTACCTCGTTTATTAGGCGCATGAAGATGCTCAAAAAGCCCAAATGGCATCACCAACCACTCTGAGTCCATCCTTTTTTTTAATGTGGTCTTCCATTCATTCCCATGATTATTTTAAATTTGATGGTAACCACTCCTTAAATCAATATTTGAAAAACTAAGCCTCATGAAATACAATCTAACAGGCCATTGAGCCTAGGTATGGGAAGGCATTTAATAATAATTGTATTAATTACTCGACTATCCACACATGACTTCCACGAATCATTCTTTTGGAAGCTAGTAAGAAGGGACGGCATAAGGTGATATTGTTTTCCCAAATCAAACCTTTTTTAAGCAAATCCGCAATTTTGCACATGTAACGCCTTGTGTTCCATGGGGTTGATTTGGTAATGGGTCAAATTTGTTAGGCTAAAATCAGGCACGAATTCAGAGAGCTATACATATTTTTGTGCCTTCTTCTTCCTAGATATTTATCATTAGGAAAAGTGCATTTCTCCGACCTCAAGTCTTTATACTTTTCAAATAGAGGCTCTAGAGACTTCAGAAGGTGCGGAATCTTGCAATAGATAAATTACATTTGTATCCTTGCTATTCTCTTTTGATTTTTGCGCACTATAGCAACTTTGGACCTATCTATTTGGTGGATTTGGGTGAGGGATGTTGCTTCATATAGTGGGGTGTGAAGCTTGACAAAGTAGAAAATGTTTGGCCTAGTCTTGTACAAAGTGTTGGGGCTGGTCTTATATACTATATCCTAATTATAAAGCCATGGCGTACCAAGTAAGATGTGGCACGCATCCATGGATGCTATGTCACACCATACTTTATCTTTATAATTAGCACCAATAGATAAAGAGAATAACATCAAGTACGAACTAATGCCTCGTCTCTCTCTTGACCCATTAAATTTGATATGGGCATGGGTGTTTGTATCCCTTTGGTTTGAGTTTTTCCACTATATCCATAGACCCAATATCCTCATTACTCTTACCAATTAGTATTGTGCTTATTTCGATGCTAGAGAAATACTCAATTTGATGTCAAGAAAATGGTGCATCGTGTAACACATTATTTGGATCAAACATTTTCAAAAATTTTAATTATTTATAGATTTACTCGATCTGTACTATTTCTTTAGCTTAAAATTTCATAATTAAGGGGGAGAATAGGTTTTTATGCTATCGCAAGGCTTTCTAGCACCGAAACTCTATCTTTCAATGTAGTTTGGGGTGCACCTTACTTGAACAGTATGGGGGTGAAACCTTATACATACCTCATCCTATTTTAAAATATCATCAAATATCTTCAAATGAGAGAAGATTTTAGAAGTTATTTGAACAGAAAAACGAAAACATCGTAGTGGATAGAGATAGTACCTTTTTTTCATTTTTGATATGCTAATGGTGGGAATTAATGGTTGGATGTTTACGGTGAGGCATCAGGCCCCTAACCGCTAATGCCGCAACCCCATGCCCACATTTGATAGTACAGTGTTTGAAAAATCGAACCGATTTTGAAAACCGACATAAGGCTGGTTCCAAGCAACTATTAAACCCGCCAGTTAGATCAGCCTAACCGGGAAAATTTTGGGTGGTCAAAAAGTATTAAAAAATATAGAAATACAGAAAAATTTAAAAACAATATGAAAAATATATTTAAAACATGATTAAACAAAACACATCTAAATAAAAATAAAAATTAGTTTAAAAAATGGATTTTAAAAATCAATTTGTACCCAGTGTATTTTTGAAATTTTTAAAAAATAAGAGAAAAATGTAAAAATAAGTATGGAAAAAGTTTATGTAGAGCCGAGGCTCTAAACAATCAAATTAAAGCCCACCTCAAAAATTTCCCTAGAAGATGTTGTTTTGATGCCCAAATATCCTCAAATTGATCACCTCGACATCAAGATGCATGAACATGAGGAAAAAAAATGGATTTTAAGTTTTGAAAATAGTGCATTTGTGATGTATTTTTTTACCATCAAATTTCAAGTTTTCATATATCTGCTCGATCTAGACTATTTTTGAAACTTTAAGTTTTATGATTAAAAATAAAAATATATTTTAAGGCTATCACAAAGATTTTCTAATATTGAAACCACGTCTCTTAACACTACTTGAAGGTGCGTTTTACTTTGATTAGTTAG